TTGAACATTGTCATTCGTCGATTCAACGTGGCCAACATCCCATCTATCAATTTTGTGTCGTACCTCCCAAAAGGAGGTAACTTCCCTTTATTTTTGTAATCTATCAACGTGTCTATCAAAACATCTGTCTCATCCTCAATTATTTTTGGTATCTTCATTTAAGCACTACAGTCATAACAATCATTCATTAGAATAATATGAATATGATTTATGGTAAATGCAACAATATAAATGATATTCAACAGTTGACAATATTTCTACACAATGCATAGATAATCATAAGTACTTCAAACCCGCAAACATGATATTACATCACAACCATATATATGTTCCACTTAAAATCCAAAAACTATTTCACTTACAAACATTAGGCATTCCCCTAAGTTCTTCATAATGATACAAGAAATCATTAATTTAAAAACATAAAGTCAACCAACTCTACCCATAACTGAGTACACAATATGGGTGAGGACGATACCCAATATAAACATTACTACATTAATCATGCACCAAATCATGTCACGCTTGTACCCGCTATATTCCAGTACAACAACATGTTGTTCATTATTATCCATTGGCCGTTCTTGAATAAAATTTTTCAAAGGTCCAATTTCATGGACATCCATGTTATTTGCTACTTCTCGTTCAAGTGGTACTACTTGCGTTGCATTGTGCATGGCTAATGCAGTTGCTGCATCATTGTACGAATCATAAGATTTGTACAGTGCATTTGGATATTTATTGACATGTGAATAACACTCAACCCATGATTGATAAATTCCAGTCCGCTGTCCAATGAACACAACGTGCCACCTTTGGTTCCTGTTCATAGCTTCTTGCACAACAATAAAAAAGTTGTTCCTGCTACTACTCAATGCTACTTACATTTATATTACCTAACATTAAATGCAATATTTCATACACCATATGTAAATGACCATCAAATACACGACCAAAACATGTTTACTACATCACAACAACTATTCGGAGGGGACTTTAATGTAGTGAGGTAATACTTATGAAATTCAAGGAGGTTGTAGTATATTCAGTCAGACAATTTGTGATTGTGACTCAACTATACAAGATGCTGGATTAATGGACCTTAGGTTCTCAGGGAGTTTGTTCACCTGCTACAATAAAACAGATGATTCAGACTGCATGGTGTAGAGTTTTAAATTTCAAAAGTATCTGACCATAACCCATATCAGGCAAAGGCTAAACCGCCATTGCTGTGGAAAAAAACTCAGTTGCCATGTGAGAGAAAATACGAAAAATGAGGCAAAACCCATTTCCCTCTCTCCTCTCACAGACCCTCTGAGTTGCCCCGCTAAGAAACCAGTAAACTCAAACCATAAGTTTCTTTAAAAACTTCATCAGCACCGCCTCATATATGGTGTTTGGCAGACATATACATAGACATATATAGATAGATAGAAATGTCCACACAGAGAGAGAGAGAGAGAGAGAGAGAGAGAGAGGCAGAGTAAATATTGGGTGGTACGGTGTGTATAAAGGGCTGTTGATTTTTCGATTACATGTGAAATCATCGGCCGGTGAACAGAGAGGGGCAACCACCTTTAGAAACTCCTTGACTCTCTATGCTTTGCCTTATTCTTGGTCGATTCTTGGTTTTCTTGGAAAATCCAAGTCAGTGTACTATCTGAGAGAGACAAAAAGAGAGAGAGAGAGAAAGAGAGAGAAACATACTTTGCCAATGACCTTGGAGCCGTGCTTCGATGGGGACCAATGCAAAAAAGGGGGAGAAGATGATAAAAAAACCCTATAGTTTGGTGACTATTCTGCTGGATAAGGGTGAAATGGTAAAATTGATTTGTAATCTTGTCGGCTGAAAGTGAATCCCAAAGTTTTGGTGGGATTCACTTGTCCAGATGAGAGGGGATTAATTGGCTCAAAAACTACGTCCGTAGTTTTTGAAATACTACGAATATCCGGCCTCCAAAAGCATTGTCAAAGTTGGGATAAATGGGCTCCACAACATATTTATCCAATCGAACATGGTGTATCCACTTTTATCCAGCCATCCAAACACCCCCTGATAGGATTAGATACCTAAGATGGGCTTTTGCATGTATGGTTCAATTTGTGCTTATCTCATTGTAGCCTATCAAACTGGTCTTGGCGGAAAACTATTTTCTTGTGACATGTTTGTATCTTGAAATAATGTATGCAAAATAAGAATGTGTATATATGACTTTGTTCAGACTCGCAGTTCCCAGAGTCTCATACATTTTTGAATGTCTTTATTATGACTAATCAGTCTCCTCAACATTAGAGTTCAAGTGGAGTTCCCATCGTAGGGAGTCGGGTCTTGTGTTCGGACATCTCATCGAATAATGGATCCAGGTGTAATCCAATAAAATACAAACACGACTCATTTAAGTACCCAACAAGAGTTTGGTTTTGAATGCCCGATTCTTCTTCTGTCTTAAGATTCCATATAATGATGAGTTAGTAATCAAAATTGGGTATTTCAAATTAATAATCGAATATTGCTTTTAATATGAAAACAATATCGTCACTTAAGAGTTTTGGATCATAATTAGATACATCCACTAGACATGTTTAATAATTTGATGGACAATTATGCATGAAAAATATATAAGTCAAATAAATTTTGACATAATACGATTTAGACGACATTGTCAACCTTAATGTTTGTTTGTGTGTGCGAGACGCTTGAATTTCTTGCACCAACTCCCGCCAAAGGAATCAAATTTTCCCACCTATGCATTTTGCCCTTACATTACCCACATTTAGTACAATCGAATGTGCAGGTTGATTGCTATTGGCAGCAGCCCAACGGTGTGAGATCACTAGATTTTCATGGCCCACCTCCTCTTTGAAGTAGTGAGGACACACAATGGGAGTTGTCCATGGATTATGGTACCTTTTTTTTTTTTGGTATTATACCTTTATTTATTATATTTGTGATTATTTTTATTATTGTTTTAATTTTTTTTACCATTATTGTGGTACCAAAAAAAAATAATAAAAATAATTTCCACAATAGTGATAAAAACAATCAAAATAATGATAAAAGTAACTATAAATGTGGTAAAATCACCGATAAAAGAGAAAATTTTTGAGTAAATGTCACTGACACCACTAGATTTAAGTCATATTTTACTAACACCTCTTCTAGTTTTTGAAATATCACTATATTCCCCTGTTAATTTTTATTTCCAAATAGAAGGTGTAATTTTACTAACTTACCTTGATTAGAACCCCCATTATATTTAATTACCCTTACTCAAATTAAACTTATTTTATATGGCCAAGGGTAAATTTGGTAATTCATAAGAGAATAAACCATCACACCACACTACACTAAAATAGTTTGTAAAACGTGTATATAAATTATAGGGGTGTGCAGTGATATTTCAAAAATTAGAATAGTTGTCAGTGAAATTTATCCAATTTTTTTGGTATTAAAAAAATAGCTATTAATAGTGGTAAAAACAATCACAATAGTAATAAAAATACCCATAAATATAATAAATTTTTTGATTATAAAATACCTTATAAAAATTATAAAAACATCAATTAAAATAATAAATTTTGAAGGTATGTACTCAACTCAAGTCCCAGACCATGTGATCCCACTTCATCAAAGTCTATATATATCAATATTATATATTTAAACTTCAAAACTTTGATTGAATCCAACTAGAATTAGTGACCATGATTTGTCTACTTTTTCTCTTTTCCACCTACCATTTGACCATCAAATCCAAAAGAAAAAGGTACCAAACGTGATACTTCAGTCAGAAGATTTGGGGGGAAAAAATCAAAAGAGAAAAAGGTCAAAAACTAAATGTAAAAAGATCAGCTTAATGGTTGAAGATCTATCACAACCCAGCAACACATCTCATAGCCATCTTTATCTTTATGACAAATAAAGTCAATTAAAAGGAAGGTGGTAACCATACTGTAGTAGTTATACAGAAACTTCAATGAAGTTTATGGTCTCATAAGGGGCTGTTATTGCAGTGCTGGTCAGACCCAGGTAGGATACCAAGGATCTCGTCAGGACATTATAATGTTTTTCAGATATAATTTCGAAATTTATTGGTTGTGACTATTGAATTATTAGTAGATTTCAGTATTAAATGTATTTTATTATCAATTTAATAGTAACAATGCATTAAACTATCACAAATTACGTCTTAATGGTGTTAGTATTTCTCTAATATGCTTCACTTTAATCTTGCCTTTTAGTTATCACAAATCTTACATTGCACTTGTGACTATGATTGCTGATTTTTAATTGACTCAATTATTTTAGGTAGGTGTAAATCCTTTTTGTTCAAAATAGTTTTGATTTTTCTAGTTGACATCTTTTTCACTTCGTCAATAGGTGAAGTAAATTGTTGGGTGACACGTGGGATAACTATTATATGGACATCAACTAAGAGGCAAATGTTGTGTCACTCCCCCTTATCATATGAAAATTGCATGGAATCCTGGTTCCCGAGACTTTTTCATAAGATCCCAACCATTTCTTTTGATCATACAAAACCGATAGATGTTCAAGTAGTTGACTTTTGAATATGAGAAACTTCCTATTTGGTAGGTAAATTGAGATTTATGATGAAAATTGGGAGGGTCAAAGTATAATTTTTTCATTCTTTAAACTTAAAAGGTTTTGAACAAGTGGGTGAAGGATAATATCACACAAGGGTTCAATGATTCAACCCATATGAGGTTAAAAAGTGCCAACCCATAACCAAAACCATAAACAGACGCCCTTTGAAAAGTGTTCTTTCGGAGGGTTTTCGAGGGAAGAGTACATTTCACGCAGGAGAGAGAGCATGCCCACGGTGGCGCAACATAGGGGCACCTTGCTGTCGTCCTCTCCAAACAACACACTCAGGCGACCTCTGCTAACCTACGCTCCAACTGCGCACTCCCATAACCTATACCCACTCACTTCAAAACAAGACTGAGATTTTTCAATGCGAACACTACTGTCCTTGGCAATGTCTACTCTTGTATTCTTACTGGTTCTCTACGCTCCATTCTTATCGTGCGCCGAACGCACAGCAGACACCCTGGCGGAGATCGAAGCCCTAACTTCTTTTAAGCTTAGCCTCCACGACCCACTCGGCGCACTCGACGGCTGGGTCTCGTCCACTCAGGCGGCTCCGTGCGACTGGCGCGGCGTCGCTTGCAACAACAACAACCGAGTCACTGAGCTCCGTCTTCCTCGCCTTCAGCTCAGCGGCGTATTGACGCCGCAAATCGCTAACTTGCGCATGTTGCGGAAGCTTAGCCTCCGGTCCAACAACTTCAACGGTACAGTTCCATCTTCTCTCTCCAAATGCACTTTATTACACTCCATTTTCTTACAGTACAACTCGTTTTCCGGCAATCTCCCGCCGGAAATTTCCAATCTAACCAATCTCCAAACTTTAAACCTCGCCGGAAATCAAATCTCCGGTGAAGTTCCCCGTGATCTCCCTGGAAATCTCCGTTACATCGATCTCTCATCAAACTCGTTTTCCGGCGAGATACCGAAGAACATTTCGAAGTTTTCTCTTCTCGAATTGATCAATCTATCGTACAATCATATATCCGGTGAAATCCCGGCGAGCTTGGGTGAGCTCCAAAGACTTCAATACCTCTGGCTCGACTACAATAATTTACAAGGAACATTGCCTTCAGCTATTGCAAACTGTTCGTCGCTTGTGCATTTTAGCGCCGAAGGGAATGCCATCGGAGGCGTATTACCGGCGGCAATCGGTGCCCTTCCGAGACTCCAAGTGGTTACGCTGTCCCACAATAATCTCTCTGGTTTGGTTCCATCGTCTTTGTTTTGCAACACTTCAGTTTATCCTCCGTCGATTCGGATTGTTCAGTTAGGATTTAATGCCTTCACGGACATTGTTGATCTGGGGACATCAACGTGTCTTAGTGTTTTACAGCATTTGGATCTCCAACAGAATCTAATACACGGCTCGTTTCCTTCGTGGCTGATGAATGTCGTGACATTAACGACATTGGATGTATCTAGGAACTTGTTTTTGGGTTCTATTCCAAGTGAGATTGGGAATTTATGGAGATTGGAGGAATTGAAGTTGGCCAACAATTCATTTACTGGCATAGTTCCCGTTGAGGTGACGAAATGTAGTAATTTGAGCCTTCTTGATCTTGAAGGGAATCGGTTTACTGGGGAAATTCCTGTGTTTTTGAGTGAGCTTAAAGCTTTGAATGTATTGTCACTTGGCAGAAATCAATTCTCAGGTTTAATTCCTTCCAGTTTTGGGAACCTCACAGGGCTTGACACACTGAATTTGGGAGGTAATGGTCTCAATGGAAGCTTGCCTGAAGAACTAATGGTTTTGAGCAAATTGAGTACATTGGACCTCAGTGGGAACAAGTTTTTGGGTGGAGTTCCGGCAAGCATTGGTAACTTAAGGCAGCTATCGGTCCTGAATTTGAGTGGCAATGGATTTTCGGGGACCATTCCGGCTAGTGTTGGAAGTCTTTATAAGCTAACCACCATTGATTTGAGCAAACAGAATCTCTCTGGTCAGTTGCCATTTGATCTTGGGGGTTTGCCAAACCTGCAGGTCATTGCTTTACAAGAAAACAAGTTTTCTGGGGATGTTCCCGAAGGTTTTAGTAGTTTACTGGGTTTGCAATACTTGAATCTCTCTTTCAATGCCTTTTCTGGTCACATTCCGGCGACTTTAGGTTTCCTCAAGTCATTAGTTGTTCTTTCATTGTCTAACAACCACATCTTTGGCTCAATTCCTCCAGAGCTAGGTAATTGTTCTGACCTTCAAGTTTTGAATCTTCGGTTCAATTCTTTGAGTGGACAAATCCCAGTTGATTTATCTCGTCTCTCCCATTTGAAGGTGCTTGATTTAGGTAGAAACAATTTAACAGGTGAGATCCCCGATGAAATTTCCAAATGTTCATCTCTAACTTCAGTTGTTCTAGACTCAAATCATCTATCCGGTCCCATACCAGGCTCATTTTCCAATTTGTCAAACCTAACAACACTGGACCTCTCTACAAACAACCTCAGTAGAGAGATTCCAGCAAATCTTACACTGATCTCTAGTTTGGTTAGCTTCAATGTGTCAAACAATAACCTCGAAGGTGAAATACCAGCAACTCTAGGTTCTCAGTTTAACAATCCATCAGACTTTGCCGGTAATCTGTATTTATGTGGAAAGCCATTGAATAGGAAATGTGAGCGAATAAACAGAGGTAGGAAGAAGAGGCTGATTCTCTTGATTGCTGTGGCTGCTAGTGGAGCTTGTCTCATGGCATTATGTTGCTGCTTCTATATTTACAGCTTGTTGAGGTGGCGGAAGAGGCTCAAAGAACGGGCAGCTGGGGAGAAGAAGCATAGTCCAGCAAGGGCTAGTTCAAGGACAAGTGGTGGTCGGGGCAGTGGCGATAATGGAGGGCCAAGGCTGGTTATGTTCAATAACAAGATCACACTGGCTGAAACAGCGGAAGCAACAAGGCAATTCGATGAGGAAAACGTGCTAAACAGAACTCGGTATGGGTTACTTTTCAAAGCTTGTTACAATGACGGAATGGTGCTTTCAATTCGCAGGCTCCCAGATGGCTCGCTGGATGAGAACATGTTCAGAAAAGAAGCTGAATCATTAGGCAGAGTGAAGCACCGGAACCTGACAGTGCTTCGCGGCTACTATACTGGTCCTCCTGATCTCCGACTCCTTGTCTATGATTACATGCCTAATGGCAATCTTGCAACCCTCCTCCAAGAAGCATCACACCAAGATGGCCATGTACTGAATTGGCCAATGCGCCACCTCATTGCACTCGGCATTGCTCGTGGCCTGGCCTTTCTCCACTCTGCTTCAATTGTTCACGGTGATGTGAAGCCCCAAAATGTATTATTCGATGCAGACTTTGAAGCCCATCTCTCCGATTTTGGTCTAGACAAGCTCACCATTGCGACCCCAGCTGAAGCTTCCACTTCAACCTCAGTTGGGACTTTGGGCTATGTCTCACCAGAAGGAACATTAACAGGTGAAGCCACGAAAGAATCAGATGTATACAGTTTTGGCATCGTGTTGCTCGAGCTACTAACAGGTAAAAGGCCAGTGATGTTTACACAAGATGAAGATATTGTCAAGTGGGTCAAGAGGCAATTGCAGAGAGGTCAAGTATCGGAGCTGTTAGAGCCAGGATTACTCGAGCTAGACCCTGAATCATCCGAGTGGGAAGAGTTCTTGCTAGGAATAAAAGTGGGCTTGCTTTGCACAGCACCAGACCCCCTTGACCGGCCCACCATGACCGACATTGTGTTCATGCTTGAAGGTTGCCGTGTCGGCCCCGACATTCCCTCCTCCGCCGATCCCACCTCTCAACCGTCGCCGGCTTGACCCAAAACCCATATTGAGTTTGTCAACAATTTTTTTCCTTATTTTTTGGGGGGAAAATTGTAATAGTGGTTAGTTTTTTTGTCTCATGAATTTCACAATTTAAAATTTCTTTAATGGAACTTTAGTAGCTTTTTGCTCTTCAATATTCATTTTCATCACTTTGCCGTGCCGGCCGGGGGTGTGTCGAGTGAAGAGTGACTTCGTGAGGTCCACTGGGAATGAGTTGTAAAATATTATTCAACTGTGTTTGAGTCAATGATTCCGACAGGTCCCAAGTTAAAAGCAGACGAAAGTGGGGGGGTGGGGACCACTAAGTGATTTCGCGCCAAGGACAAGCTGAAAGTACTACTCTGACCCTTGCACATGGCTTTCAACAGGGTAGTTCTCTTGGGCATTGCAAAATATAGCCGTTAATGCTCTGAGGTCAGTCACACACTGGCAAATATTCAAATCAGAGAGGAGACAGAGAGAGAATCCAAAGTTTTTATTTGTCCAAGGTGCGTCTGGGTTCGTGATCGTGCTGGGGTACAGTAATGGGAAGGGCTTTGTTTTTTGTTTCTGTTTGGATAAACATGATACTTCCTAAATTTTGTTTTTAATTTTTTTAATTCTGTCATTTAATTATTAGATTTATCTCAATTATATATATTTTTTATTTTCATCGTTAAATCAAAACAAAAGCATGTAATTTAACGCTTGAAATAGATTAGTTTGGATTAGTCTTTGGTTAATTCAACAGTGGAAATAGATAAAAAAGATTTAATTGAGATAAATTTAATAATTGAGAAATTAAATTGAAATAATTAAAATTTACCCTCCCTTTTTTTTTTGTTTACCCACAGCTATGGTGCAATGCGACAGAACAAGAAGACAAGAAAGGCAGAAGTTTAAGGACCCACGGGATCAGCCGGGGAGAAGACATGGAGTCCCCAGGGGAAGGGATGGTGAGACGGACTAGAAAGGGATTGATTTGAGTTGGCGACTTTTCGTGGGTCTTGCTATTATTAATTTTGTTTTTTTTTATTATTATTATTATTATTTTTGCTTGAGCCACTGTTGACTTTGTACTTATCAGGTGTCCAATCCATTTTGTGATGCATTAATTCTTGTGAAAATTAAAATCAAATCCTCTTCCTCAATATCTTTTATCAATAAGGATAAATACAAAATTTTTAAATAATTAAGGTTATATAATTATAATATATGATCCACACTTGCTAATGTTAACCGTATATTTTTAATGATAAGAATACTATTTTTTTTATTATCACAAAATAGTAAAAAATACTATAGTGACACTATTAATCCTAGGACAATGACCGTGCCTCTGTTACTTTGCTCGGACAATATTAGTCACACAGACACATAAAGATAATTCTAATTAAGAAATATCTCAAATAATTTTTTTTTTGATTTTATTTGAATTTTAAAATGTGCATTATTTACTCTTTGTCCTTTGTCTCTTTTATTTTATTATTTCTCTCTCCTATTTATTTCATCCCGCTAGGCCTCTCTTTCATCTCATTCATTCTTTCGCCTCATTTGAAATGTAAATTTTGTGTACAAGCCTTGGAGCATCTCCAACTGGTATGTCACATGGAGGCCTTAACGTCTCCTTTTGGCACGCAAGACTTCTTCGACCGATAAATTAATTGTTGATTGCGCAAAAAAATAAAAAATTGGCATATCTCAATAAATATGTCAAATTTTTTTAATGTAATATTTTATGGAGTTGTTGGGTGTTTAATGCAATTTATTTTATGTAGTAAAATATAATTTGGTTAGAATTTATCTAATAAAATTATACTTATAATTATCGTTTAAATTTGTATTAGTTAGGTTTAATTAGAATTTTATTTTTAATAAAATATATACTACTTTTCAGATAAAATTTATAATATTTTAAAATATATTATTTTTAATAATATTTATTTTAATTGATCCCAAAATTTATTTTAAATATATATATTGAATTAATATAAAAAAAGATATTTAAAGACAAAAATTAAATAAAATAAATTATTTTGACATATCGATTAGAGTATAAGATAAAAATATCAAATATTATATGTCTAATTCACTCTATTAGACCAAAAGTCTATCATAAGGGATCAGCCGACGTTGTTCCCCTAATTCTTACTTTCTCCGAGTCTATTTGCTATGCCAGTGGGTTCGGTTGAAACCGCGCTTGGGCTTATTTTGAAAATTTACAAAATTTCTTATCCACTTTTTAATTTCTCAAAAGCACAGCAATAACTCTCAATTAGTGGGCAGACTTTTATAAATGTGCGTTGCACGTGAAAAAAATTTAATTCATTAATTTATTATTAAATTTATTTAAAATACAAAATAGATGAGTAATAAAATTAAATTATTTTTTGTAAATGTAAGTGAATAATTAAAATATCAAGAAAAAAGACACTTAATCTTTTAACCTCAAAATTTGATAAATTTCAGCCAATAAATGATAAAAATACTTAAAACATGGTACATAGTACATTAATATTTTTTTTTTGTGTGGTACCTAACTTTAACTATTTTTTAAAATCTTTTTTCTTATAGTTAGAATAACAAATTTTTGGAACATACAATTTTTATATATAATGCTATTATAGAATATGAAAAATGAAAAATTAAGTTTAATAAATTTGATTATAGAGTATTAAGGTTTGAATTGATTCCAATCACTCTTTTACAAAATTTAACAAATAAATTTGAGATTGTTTGACTGTAAGTTAATTTTCTATTCTTGTTTATTCATTGAACATGAACATATTTTTATTAAATGAATTTTTATATGTGAACTCTGTAAATTGCAGTTTTAGTCACTTCTAATTCATAAGTGCTTTTAGAGTGTTAGTATGTTTTTTTTGGATTCTGTTAATTAATTTTTTATGTGGTGCTTGCCATGTTATGTTAGGTATTTTTATGTTAACCACATTTGTGATTCTTACAGCTCTGTCTATGATTTCTTGTGTAGAATTTTCTCGTTCACAATTTACATTTCTATTTACTGTTTTCCTAGACTTGTTAATATAATCTTCGGAAAATTTCTGTGTGAATGATTGAAGAGGAAAAAAAAAAGCAAATCATGTCTTAAAGTAGTTTTTGCACAGTTTCTATGTGACACCTTCTTTATTAACGGGTCATACTTTTGACTTTCAAACTGTTTTTTCTCTATTTCAGGTTTTATTTGGATTTAATTTATTTATTATTAGATTGATTGTTGGTCTCAATAAATGTCTTCATAGTTTCTATGTGGCATCTTGTTTATTAATAGGTCATGCTTTTGACTTTCAATCTGTTTTTCCTTTATTTTAAGTTTTATTTGGATTTAATTTATTTATTATTGGATTGATTGTTGGTCTCAATAAATATTGAAATTTATCATCAATTCAAAAATTAAGAATAATTAGGTCAATATTATAGGAGATTTAAACAAGTTTTCAAAATATTAACTATATGAGCAATGAAAAATTGGATTCATGAGAGGTTGTATTAAAACAAAGAAACACTTACATAGAAAATTTGAACGTAAACATAGGAATTAATAAACTAAAACATAAAAATTAATAAACTAACCTCAATTATGCCGAATACTAGACCTCCTACACTAATTTAACAAACTAAAACATAAAAATTAATAAAATAACCTCAATTATTATGCCGAATACTTGACCTGTCATATCAATCTCTTAAAAAGTTGTTTGATATTAAATTAATAAAAATTAAGTACCACAAAACATAGGAATTAACATAAATATAGGAATTACTAAACTAAAACAGAAGAATTGATAAACTAACCTTAATTATGCCGAAAACTCTAACTTTGACTTCATTGAGTTTGTCATAGAAGAGCATGAGACCATAGGACTTCAAATAAATGATTGTGGCATACCAACTTCTAACTCTAACGTGAATGGAAGAAAAAACTTGTTTGTTAATTTTGCTGAAAAGTTTGATCTCATGTGGTATTAGAATCCTATATATATGAAAGAATTCAAAATATTTTAGAAATCTAACAAGTAGAAAAGACAAAAAAAATATATGTATATGTATCACCTAAAAACTACCAATATGTGGTATCAGAATTCTAATGGAGTTTACACAATTGAATGGAAAAGAAAGAACGTATCGTCATAGAGATAAAGTTATCTAGCTAATATTTTGATAAAGTTTATCTATCAAGTCATAGAGATAAAGTTTATCTAGCTAATATTTTAGAAGTCAAGTAGGTATGAAAGACAGAAAAATATGTGGATATAATTGACTTTATGGTAATAATTAAGGGTGAAATAGAAAATCAAAATTTTTTCACACATATTGACATTTATAAGTAGTATAGATTATTCATGGTAGTGCTATTTTTTCTGGGGGAGGGGAAAGGGAAAGAAGGAAAGGAACTTGAACTCTTAAGATAAAGTTTTTACAAGACAAAGAGTACTATTAGACCAAAGACTCATTGATACCATGAGGGTGCTATTGGGTGAGACTATTCACACCCATTAAATATTTATTTTTATTTCATTTAACTCTTTTACTTCAAATTATTAAATCCACTTTGTCCATACCCACCCATTAGTGAAGAGTTCCCCATTCTCAAGCATTAACCGAAATCAAGACATTGACCATGACAGAAACTTGAATATAAACTGAAATCAAAACTTAAAATGCTATATATGTATGTTTTTAATAGATTCTTTGCTTAGGATAATATAAATGGGGTGATAATATATATATATATATATATATACTAGTTATTTATCGTGTCTGAAGGTACGGAGTAATAAAAAAAATAGTCAAAAATAAATATATTTATATTCACACCTAAAATCAAATTACAAAGATATAGAAGAAATAAAGAAATTTAAGCACAAGTTATAGTGGGGGTGAGCGGTGATAGTGATGGTAGATGACAGTGGTGGTGATGGGAGACGGTAATAATTGTAATGAATGATGACAACTAGTTGTAATGGTGGCAGGTATAGGTGACAATGGTGATAGTGGTTAGGAGGTAGCGGGGGGTGATGTGGTAGGGGTGATGGTGGGATAGTGGCGATGGTGGCAATGGTGGTGGTGATGGGACAC